TTAAATTGATCTGTCTTGATTTCCCGACTTTGTGGTGTGAACTTCTATGATAGGAGGTTTCTGTTTTTTCTTTCTGGATCTGCCTTTGATGATGTCAGATATTAACCCTGTCTGACCTTAGGCAGTCTGCTCGAGACGTCCGGGAATCTACTGTCTGTGGCTGTCTCCTCAGCTGTTAATCTAGTCACTCTGCACTCAGCAGGCCAGCTTAGACACCACAGGGCAGGGCAGAATCCCTCCTTGGCATGTGGTTATTGGGCCCTGTCACACTGCTGCCATTCAGGGGAATAGTCTGCTTGAGCCAGATGGCTGCTGCCATGTGGAGGATGATTCAGCACCGGGATCCCACTGGCTACTCTCTCTGTTCTCTCCCCAAAGCTTCTGTCTCCAGTCTTTCCTCAAGTGACTCTATACCACTCTGCGCGCCTTTTAGGCAAGGATCTACTTACTATCTGTTGCTGTCACTCTATACTCAGCAGTCAGGCTTTAGCACTACCAGGCCAGGGTTGAGTCCCTCCTGGGGGTGGGCCTATTGTGTGTTCTCACATTGTTGATGCTCAGGGGAGTGGTCTACCTGAGCAAGATGGCTGCTGCAGTATGGCAGATGAGTCAGCAGCAGGATCCAGCTGGCTACTCTCTCAGTTCTCTCCCCAAAGCCTCCTTCCTCAGTCTCCTCGGGCATCTCTAGCCCACTCTGCCCCCACCTTTGCCAGAAACCAGGGTAAGTGGCAGTTAGGTTGAGCTAAAGCTGGTTCTTCTGTCTGTCCAAGATTATAAGGCTCCTCTCTCACTATTTTTCAGTTTTTTGTTCCAGGCGATTTCTTCACAATTTAGTTGTAATTCCAGTTTGGTCCTGGGAGGAGGTCAATGTGACTTTTCCTCACTCCTCTGCCATCTTGATTCTCCTATTCACTGTTTTTTATAAAATAACCTATAAGATCAATTCCAATTTTCATTTTAATATTTTTTAATAAAAGAAATCAGTTCCTTTTTCAGAACTATGTTTTATTTTATCAACCAAGTGGAAATATATAATCATTGTATTTCCCATTTTTTCCTTGACTAAAAATAAATCCAAACAAAATTACTATATAAGTCTAAATTTTAATGCATTTGCTGTTATTTTTCAGGAATTTCTCCTCTGTAGATATTACTCCAAACAATTCTTGAGTGGTTTTATTTTGCATTTTTACTTTAGCAACCCTAAGTTATACAGGCTGCCCCAGTTCTCAATGTATTGCTTTTTTGATAGAAATTCACTGTTTGTTACAGCTCTATGATAATGTACTGAATTCTTTTAAGAATTTCTTTTTTTACTTTTATTATTTTAATTTTTTATTATTATTCTATTACAGTTGTCCCAATTTTCCCCCTTTGCCCTCTTCCACCCAGCCCACCTCCTGTTTCCACAGTCAATTCCCACATTGTTGTCTGTTCCATGGATCATCCATACATGCTTCTTGAGAAGCCCTTTCCCCTCTTTCCACCATTATTCCCCCCCTTCCTCCCCTCTGGTCACTGTCAATCTGTTCCATGTTTCTATGACTCTGGTTCTATTTTGCTTGTTAGTTTATTTTGTTCATTAGATTCCTCTTCTAGGTGATATCATATGGTATTTGTCTTTTGCCTACTGGCTTATTTCACTTAGCATAATATTCTCCAGTTTCATCCATGCTGTTGCAAAAGGTAGGAATTCTTTCTTTCTCTCTGCTGCATAGTATTCCAACACAGTGGAATAAGTATTTCTTTTTTAATAGTAAGTATGTAAAGATTTCTGAATAGATGGTGCTAGAGAAACATTGAAGGAAGAAGGAACTCTCCTACAGTTTCCTGCTGCTTCTAGTGCCCCAGCCATGTGCTCAGAAGGCACAGTCCCATGGAAACAGGACAGTCCTGAACTGGCCTGGCCATCACCTTCCTGTGGTTCTCCTGAGAGGGGGTGCTATTCCAGGCTTCTCCCCACACTGGCACTCCATCAACATGCCTGTACACCTGGCTACTAGCTGCCACTTGCTTGCATGCCATCTCTGCCTTGAAAGCTTGCCATGGGGGTCTGCACATCTGTGCACCTGGCCACCATCTGTGTTCACCTCACAGACGCAGAACGACCCAGTGCCCTAGACCAGCTTCAGGCCCATGTGCACAGTCACCAGCTGCAGCTCACTTATGCTCTGCCTGCACTGTGGAGGGTTGGTTGCTGCAGACCAGCTCTGGTCCAGGCAACTGGTGGACTTCTCCGGCATCTAGTGGGTTGCGATTACACCTTTTCCAATGAGGTTTAAACTCCAGCCTTGGAAAGGAGCCCCCTTTGGAGTTTGTCCTTCTTGGAGCACTTTCCTCTGCCCTGCGGTACCATATAAAGTGTTCTTATACTATATAGTTTCTCTTTTATCACAGTCTAATCATTCTTTATGTTACTCTTCCACTGTATAAATCATTGCATGGTTTCTATCTTCTGATTGGACCCAAGGTGGTACCTGCACATCAGGTATTTTGATGTACATTAAAAATAGATGCAATTTAAAACTTGTAATACTTGAGCTCCTACTTGATTAAGACTAGATGATGATTACAGTTTAAAGAAATTACTTTTCAGAAATAAATTTCTTAAATTACATTAATCCATTCAGAGTACTTAGATATATTTTGAATACAGAAGAATTTGTTATGTTTTTAAATCTGCAAATAGGCTTATAATCAGTATCAGTTGATAATTTGCCTAAAATTATTAAAAACATAGATTAGGGCATTTTAGAAAATAACATGTCCCCATTTTAGCTCCCATAAACACAAAATGGCAATATGGTTTACCAATTCCACTCTACATGTAGATGTTAAACTTAAAATTACTTTTATGTTTTCTGTAGCAAGAGAATATTTGGCATCTTGTGGTATTCATAAAATGAATTAAACTTTAGCACCAAATAAACATTTCATATCACTTTATACATTTTTTACTCTCGGTACTATTATTCAGCACCACTGTGGACAAAATTCTATGAGGAAATATTAGTCATAAAGGAAGGCAAAACATTTCACTTAAACCAAGGAGATGAACACAAATGTCTTCTAGGAATATGAGCAATTGTTTCAGAAAATAATGAAAGCTCTCTATGTTAAAAGTGAAAAAGTAACATGGTGGTAGAAAAGAGTGAAGGAGTGAATGGAGAAAATAGAATCCAAGAGAATAGAGAAGCAGTAATCTCCTCAATGCACAGTAGAAATTCAAATTCTAAATAAGCAGACAGAAGCCCAGAGACCTTTCTCTAGAAAAACTGGATAGAAACTGAAAAGACACTAATAAACATTAATATTTGAAGAATCCACATCCAAACAGGACACCTGAAAACTCAGTAACTCAAATCAGGACAACAGTTATGTTCCACAATCTCTCCAGAGGCAGTCAGGACAATTGGACTTCTGGGAGCAACAACAATGGCCGCTTCAGTAATTCTCCCTCTTTAGGCCACCCTCTCTTCCTTGTCTTACTGACCCACTCAAGCACAGGCCTTTATGGAACCACTTCCCATGGAAATTAGTTCCCCATAAATCTTGTCTCAGGGGAAACTCAAAATAAAAGACAAACAAATGGAATTCCTAGCTGCAGGAACAGGTAATGACTTTTAAGGCCCTATGAATAGAAACTGTCCGTTTTAAAGTGGATTTCTCTAATGGTTCAAGCCCCTCTGTGATATCTGTAATTCAATGAAACACTGCTATACAGCATAGCCTCGTTGAAGTATACATATAGTAATTAAACCAAAGAAGCCAATGTTCCCCCTAGAGTTCTGTAGACAAAAGAGAGGAGACAACCAAGGAATCTGAGATATGAATGAGACAGAGAGAGAGAGATTTCAGAAGAAGCAAAGTTGGAGGAAGTGGTGAGTGGAAGGAACAAAGCTTCCAAAATACCACAAGATATAAAGGTGATTGGTACAGGGTTTCTCCTTGTGTATGGGAAAATACTCAAGACGTTTTACTTTTCTATTAAAGAAAAAGAAGACAGATCAGATGAAGGACTTGGGAATGCACAGGTGGCAGCCACGTCGGTTTCGCGTTCATCAGCGTTTCAGAGTTTGTCCTCCTGGGATGAAATAAGTGGGTCAGGCACAATCATAAATGTCCTTTATACAAGGCAATAGTCGAGAAGTAGCCTTAGCGAGCCACGGATCAAGTGCATGGAGTTTAGAAAATGGAATAACTCCCTTCAAATGGGAGAGAATGGACAAGGCTTTTGGAGTATGTTGACATTTAATATAAGAACCGAGGGCCTGAGTGACTTGCACATGCGGAAAAGTGGAGTAAATGTGTAGGGTAGGTGGAGGCGGTCTGGCTCCCTCACCCAGATGCATGGGTAACTGGAGGGAGCAGCTCCTCACAACCTTGAAGGAGTCAGATTAAGCAGTCTTGCCACAGCCTTGGGCCCCTGTCTCACACCCTTGGGCCTCAGGTGCAATAAACTGCCCTGTAGCCTTGAGGAGGCTTGCATGTGCTGCTCATGGTAGTTACTTCACTTTCTGGCCTGTAGCCTGCTTTGTTCAAGGCTAGTATTTTAAGGGGGAGCAGCTTTGGATGAGGTGGGGAGTCGGGGCACCGACTTAGACACGGGCTTGTGGCCTATGTGACTCCCTCCACACGGGCTGTGGCCTAGGTAAGGTGTGGACATGGGCTTTGTGGCCTGTGCGATCTCCCCGGACACGGGCTCGTGACCTGTGTGACCCTCCCGAATGAAGGCACGTCAAGCACCCGCAAGGCTCCACGCACCTTCTCCCGTCTACCTGAGCCCCGAGTGGACCTGCCCAGCCTAAAGAGGCTGCAACACAAAAGGCAATCGGGGAAATGTCACTGATGTGAAGCCAAACCCCCATTCAGGATCCATACGATAAAATTAATGTATTACCCTTCTGTAATGGGTTTGTTTATGGACCTTATTTCATCAAGTCCTAATAATCACAAAGACAAAATTGCATTCGAAAACTAAATTTTAATGGAAAAACATGCCATTAGTGTCCAAAAAAAGCAAAAATATGAGCCACAAGGTAATCAATAATTCTATAATCTGAAAGCACGAGCAAAACATTAGCAAATTATCCTTTCTAGATATTTATTACAATGAATTTTGGTACCAACGGGAGGGTAGAATTGCTAAACCAAAGCAATCCATGTTGAATTGAAGTCAGCAGGCACTTTTTTCTCCCTCTTCTGGGAAAAATTACACTGACTAGAGACTGGATTTCCTTGCCTTCTCTCTCTGTAGTTCCAGGATTTCAATTTCTAGGGACAATTTATACAATTCCAGGGCCATTTTCACATCCTCTGGCCTCTGGAGACACTGCATGAGTTTTCTGCCTGCTACAACGTGATCACAGCCTTGAGGGACCACCTAAAAGAGAGATAGCTGGTGAGTGTGCTTGAGAGGCTTCTCTTCAGATCACGCAATGACAGGACTGCAGGAGCAGATCCCAGACCAACCCCAGGTGTGATGGGCGAGCCGGAAACCAGAAAACACTCAGCCCCGCCATAGTCGTCCCCAGAGGGATTGCAACCTGTTCTGAGAGGCCTTCCCAGAAGGCCTCTGTGGGACAGAGCTATTTCGGCCAACCATCCAGAAACAGAATACAGTGTATTACATAGTCTAGAAAAGGAAAGTTAGGTGTCAGTGCTCCCAGGTCTCTGACAACGTCCTCTCCATAAGGGGCTTGGTTTTTCCTGTTCTCCAGTGACTGCAGGACAACTTGCCCCCTAACTGACCAGAGCACTTCCAGGGAAAACAGGAGAGCTCTTTAAATGACTCAGAAGTCAACCCTGGAAAGTCAGATCTCGCCTTTGCTGGCTGGCACTGTGCTTTGAGGGGGGCACCATTTTTACCGTTTGACAGCACAGGGACTTCCTTGAACTGTTCCACTTACCCACTCACACTTGACCACCTCTGGATACCAGGTACGATTCTCTGAGCAGGTGATACTTTTGGAACCAACTACACCATAGCCGGAATCACACTGGATGGCAACATTTTCAGATTCAACAAACTGTTCCTTATCCACAGAAACCTTTCCATGTTCAATCTCTGGTTTTGGACACAGAGCTACAATGAAAGCACAGTTAAGTTATCTGTAAATTTCAGAAAAAAAGACATGATAATAGGCTAGGGAATATTAAATGAACCACATGTAGGTGCTTCTAATTGATTTATATTTTTTTTATATAGCAACGATATTAGTGCCCATTTTTATTGAGGATTGGCTCGTATCGGTTTTCGGGGCTAAGCACTTTATGTGATTTTCTCATTTAAGTCTCTTCTTACTCTTCTGTATGATGTGAGCACTGTTATTATTGCCATTTATCCAGGAGGAAAATGGGATATAGAAGGGTTAAGAAACTTATTCAAGACATAACATCTTTAAATAACATGACAGGGTATTAAAAATTACATGACCTCAGATCCTCAGCTGTCAATGCAATGATTTCTCATACTGTGATCTCTGCAAGACACTAGGGGTTAAGTTTCTCCCTTCTTGCCTATTATTCTCCTGTGTGCAAAGACGACAATGGCGGCAAATAATTCCTGGAGTTGTTATGGGCAAAGTTGTTGATATTAACCCTGTGAGCATGTAAAAATCAGACCCGATCTTGACTGTTCCTGCCCGACAACAACGAGTTGGCTACTGGGAGTCCCCCACCACGCGCCTCCGTCCTGGGCAGGTGGTGCCCTGTGTGAGGCTCAGATGAAGTACCCGGCACTCCCCAGTACTTGGAATTAGCCAGTGAGAGTCCGCATTCATGCCAGGGCAAGTTTCCGTGAAGATTTTGCTACAGGCCACAGTGACACTAAGGGAATTTACAACCTGCGGACAGTTTCCAGGAACATACAAGCAACGGGGAATCGGGGCTGCCTCAAGGAGGCTGAATTTTGTAACTGGGAGAAAGAAGTAGGGGAGATTCACGTCTCAGTATGCCCCTTGTACTCTTTTGCTTTGGGTACCATCTAAATATAGTAATTATTTAAAATAAATCAAATCAAATGTTTCCGTTCTGCCTTCGGCTAGAAAGAAACTTTATTGCCAATCCCTTCATGACAGTTCCACCCTCTGAGCCATGGGCTGGAGTTACCTTTACATTGAGGAGCTGGAGCTGACCAGCGTGAATTACTGCAGGAAAGTGTGGCCTCTCCAACCAGAGTGTATCCGTCGTCACATTCATATGTGACCTCCTTCTTTCGGAACAGAAATGAACTTTGTTCAAAATGTCCATGGTCAATTTCAGGAGGATTATTGCAGTCTTGATGTAAGACAAAAAATGAGAGAGGTTGAGCTTATAGAATGTAAGAAACAACACATTCCAGAATCTGTGTGGTTTGTAGGAGCCTTCGTCCTGTCATCTTCTCTGCTCACAGGGTCACTTAGCCAAAGGCAAGTCCTGTGCTGCCCTGCTGCAAGCCTCAGGCTGAAGAACTGTGGAAAGGATTGAGTGGAGTTTCAAGCACTTAGGGTTTGCTTCATTTAATTGATAAATTCATCAATCTTTACACTGTTTAAGGACCATTTTGGCATGAAGGTTGGATTCAACCCAAAGTCATACTATACTGATAGTGTGCACTCCATCTATTTCAGGCTAATTGCTGAGATGTGCATCTGTGAGGAACTATTTACGATGCTAAATACATGCACAATCTCTGAATCATTGCCTCCAATCAAAACGGTTCATCTATCCCCACAAAGAAAATGCTTACTGCGTTGTACAATGTTTTAGAAAAGAGGTCATAGAATGATTTAAAATGCTTACTTGCACATATGAATAAGAGACACAAAACATGTATAAACGACCCATGGACAATGACAATGAGGAGGATGATTGAATGCGGGGGCAGGAGGGTAGCAGGGGAGAGTAATGGTGGAAAACGGGGACAGTTGTAATTGAACAAGAATAAAACAATGTTAATAAAATCAATAAATAATCAATAATAGATACAACATGGTGCACAGTACCTTTCTGAAAAGAAACACTGTCAGCATCCTCAAACACTGCATAAGAAATTTAAATAAAGCAGGTTATTAGAAATGTCAGATTAAATATTACACTGATGGACTACAATAGTTTTAAGTTCTGTCATAAGATGCCCCTTAGAAGCATGGAAAACATACCACGACGCAGTAAGTGAAACTGAAATGCTGGACTTGCCATGGCAGGGGGTAGAAGAAGGAATTAAATAACAGAGGAGTGAGCATCCCGAAGTGGATATACTGTATAAGCTGGAAAATATCACCAGATGATTCTGTTACATGGAAAGACCTGAGGAATACATGTACCAAGGTTGTAAGGAATTCCCCAACAAGACACCATTATCAAAGGCAAGAGCAGAAAATAGGAAGGCCTTTAAAGAACAAGTTTCACTCTTAGCAACAGCCGTCAGAGAACTACTCATTTATTTTACAAGTTAAGTAAATGCAATCATCATAATGATTGGTAAGGTAGAGAGACAACCTATGCAGCCAACAAAGATACTACTCAATTTGTACCATCAAAAGAAATTGAGGGTGGATAATCAGGAGACTGATGGCCTTGGCCCAATGAAAGGTACAAACAAGCCCTTGCTCAGTTTCTGGACATGTGCCAGTTGTCAGGTCTGGAGATCACTGGCTAAAGAAAAAGACAGCTCCCAGAAGTAAAGATCCTACCAGACCTCAGTAAGTATGCACAGTAATGAGTTCCCAGTCTTCCAAGAGGACCTATGTCTATTTACATAGGAACTGTGCACTGGTGAAAAGTGCACAATAAATGGAGGATTACCAAATATAGAACCTGGGTTGACAGTGATACCTGTAACCAACATAGTTCCTCTATTAGACCACTTGGTGGTCATTTCCATTATCTTTGAAAATATAATCAGAATCAACAAAATTGGTTGTTAATGCAACCCCCATATTGATCTTTGGCCTGTAGGGTAAGAACTGTCATACCAAAAAAGGCCAAATAGAAGCCATATGTATGACCCACACTCCTACCCCTTAAGGCAAAGGAGGTAATTCTTTAAAAATATCATGTACTGTGGAGGTGGGGGGAATTAGTGCTACTCATAAAGAACTAAAGATGCAAAAGTGGCTTTTCCCATTATATATCTTTATATTTCCCTTGTCTGTCTATTATAAAAATTAGAATTCTGGACAATTATAGTAGACTATTGAAAATTCAACATTTTAGGCCCTGTTGTGGCCACTGTACTAAATGTGGTATCTTTGCTAAAGCAGATTAATGTCTTCAGATCAGTGAGGCCACTGATCTAGCAAAGGCATTCTTTTTCATCCCTATCCCCCAAAAAAGTTCAGAAACAGTTTGAATACACATGAAAGGGTCAAAATCATATATTTGCACTTTTACCCGTACCTATGAAACTCACTTGCCCCTCTCATGTGAGAGTCTGAAGTTTTCATGAGCGTCTGCCATCCACAGAATATCACATTGATCCAGTCCACCAATGACATCATGTCAGTCCTACCTAATAAGCCAGAAGTAAGTGGCATTATGATGTTCTGGAGTATAGAAGGTAAAGAAGGAAGCAAGTTGAGAAAAGCAAGTTCAAATAGATTTTGGCAAGTCTTGTTTTTCAGTTTAAGACATATAGGAAGGGAAAGAAACAGAATAAATACCAAGAAATTTAAAAGGCTAGCTGATCTACTACATGTGGCCTATTTTCACTGATTCAAGAAAACAGGAATAAACAATGTGGGGAAAGGGAGAAATCTGAACTGGAGGAAGTGCTTTTGAGTAAATTTATCCATTCCGAGAATCATGAAGAGTACACAAATTCTTTTATGTAATTCAAAACCCTTCCTTAATAATCTCCATTACTTTGTTATGAAGAAACTTCTAAATAACATAATTCCATCAGCTCTCATTCTCATCACATGCTTCTATTTCAGGACTCCAGGTGCCATCTGCTTGGCAGGAAGCTTCACCAATTTGTCTCCCATGACATGCGTAAGAAATCATGTCTCCATTGAAATAGGCACAGCTACTGGCCAAAGCACTTTTTCTCTGGTGAGTGATTTTGCCATCCTTCAGCTCTGGTTTTGGGCAACATACCTCTAAAAAATAAAACATGACACTAATAGTAAAATCATCCTGAGAAGGCTCCTATGGCTGACAATCTCATTGCCACCTTTGAAAGAGCTCACCACAGCAGAGAGGTTGGGGAAACACTGTGGTACAAGAGATGCTTTGAGTCCTCACTCTTTGTCTCTGACTTGCTAAAGCAGTCCAGCCCAGTCATATTCCTCCAACTAAATAGTTTCATAGATGTCTCCAAAATAAGAAGTTGGATTAAACCTTCCAACTTTTCATTTTCAAAAAATTTTCAAAAGCAATGGCAACATTTATGTTCTCTTGGCTTCATTAGGGCTAAAACCAAGCAATGATAGTTTCAGAATTGTATATTTCTAGAAATAAAAATTTAAAAACATCTATCAACCCATGGTTATTTAGAAGTCCTCCTCCCAGCCTTTCTTATGGAGTCTTTAACCTTTACTATCACTATCTTACATTAACCTTTCTTCCATAGGCTAATTAATCCATCTAACCAAATATGTCACCCACATTCCCACACCAGTACCTGTGCTCATATACTATATCCTACCTAGAATGACACTCTTTTGCTCTGCTAGCTATTCAAGTCCCATTTGCTTTGTGAATGTTTTCTTTTCTTAGTGGCCCAGCAAATAGTCATTGTTTATTTCTCAGCTTCTACAGCAGTGAGTAGGAAGAGATTATAAATTTATCCAACTGTTTATTGAAATCTTACTATAACCTGGACACTACATATATGAGGTCTGTCCAGAAGGTATCCAGCCATGTGATATGAAAAATAGAGACATTCACTGAGGAAGATACAAGAAACATTGTACATGGGACAATGACACCTCAGTCCCCTTCAAAGTAGGCACCTTGGGGCCTCACACATTTCTCCCAGTCACTATCAGCTGCCCTGTTGTATTTTCCTGAATCTCATCAACTGTCTGAAATCTCTTCTCTTTTAAAGGTGATTTCAGTTTTGGGAAAAGCCAGAAGTCACAGGGCACCAAATCTGGGCTG